CATGATATTTGTTTCTATGAAACGAAAGTAGAGAGAAAAATGAGATTCTCTCCTCCAAAAACTAGGTGTGAAATGGTAACTGTGTGAGGACAAAACATTAAGCAGAGAAATTCAGCAAATTAAGCAAATTACTATTAGATCCAATAATATTAAAGATAGACTACTCCCTGAAGAAGATATTTCAAGACCTGTACTTCGCGAATAATACGATCCACTTCACGTTCCTCGTCCACACTTACGGATGAAACATGCGTCATATTTTCTGACTTTATTTCCATTGATGTATTCCTACAACTGCTAAATTCAATTCTTAAGAAGGACTACTAAAACATCAAAGCTATATAGCAACAGTTTAGAATGTGAAATCGATGTGAAAAGCTTTCCGCACTCAAATTCCAAACGAAAACAAAAATACTTAGCAAGCTTATACCCAAAGTAATAAGAGTAAATGCTTCCTCCTGCCGTTGTGAAGTAAGTTATAGGATAAATTAACGACAAAAAAACTTAAAAACATATAGTTAGCCGATATTAGGTTAAAATATTTCTGCCACTATAGCACTACTCTCTAGATATCAAAGTAAACAAATTTTACAATCATGCACAAACAGCAGCGAAATAAAATAATGACCGAATAATAATAATATTTGAATTACCCACTACTAAAACACCGCAATAACAGTAAATGTTCGATAATCAAATACCGAATTAGTACTGTTAAATATCTATTAATTACAAATAAACCTATATTACAAAACGGTCAATAATAATGTTTCAAATTAATGAAGACAATAAAATGAATAATGAAAAATTTTAAATCACTTGATGAAAAAAGTTTAAATTACTTGACACCACCGTAAGGCAATAACATTAATTAAAAACTTGCAATTATAGGTTAAGCTTATCACCATCACCATATTTAAACCATACACAATGCTATCACATGCTACGAGTAAATATTAATGTTACAAGTAGACTGCAACACTTTTGTATGAAAATAGATCTGCAATAAAAATATCACTGCAGATACTACTACTTTTTTTTCATTTCTGATTCTCTGATATATATCTAACCTGCATTACTGCTACATTATAAACAATCATCAGAAACGACTTAATAATTAAAACTTCCAATTTTCAACAATTTTTGCGACCATTACCGGTGATACAAAGTCGATAAAACGTCGTTAGTCGATAATGTATCACTGCAATTATCCCATTACGGTGTAATAATACTGAACACAACCAACATTAAAATATTTCATATTTTCAAGAAAAATAAACCTATGAATAGCGTCCAAATCATCATCATCATCTTCAATTTCACCGTCTTCCAATGTAGTACCACCTGTCAACATTACATTTCCTCTCATTATCGTAGGATACATACCAGAGATTCCTAAATACTTAGATTTATTCATTTCAAAATCACTTATTATGATTTACTTTATCGTATGCTTTGTAACGTGTATACGTACGTGTCAACACGTGGTGTGTAATGATTAATGTAACTGATTATCAATAAATAAATTAGTACAACAAATAATTATATATTATTCGTAATGATCTAACCAAACAATATGTATAAATGAAAACAAACAAAAAAATGAGCTACAAAATATAAAACAAACTGATCCAACAATAGCTATAAAGTCTAACTGAACTAACCAGGGGCGCGCTATGAAAACTCTTCGTTTCACCGTATTGAAAAAGCATGCAAGTTAATTGAATTCAGCAAAGACAAGATGGAGTACGACGAGATATTTACGCTATAAGTAGACGTGTGACAACAATGCTTATTCTAAATAAAATTAATATAAAATTACACGCAAAAAGAGATAACACAAAAAATGCAAAAAAAATATAAAAATAAAATATAAATTATCTCCAGTAATACTGCGTGAAGCACACTGCTTATACTTACATATCATTGAAATTACTTATATATGAATGAAATTGCATGCATATCTGTCGCACAGTTATTGTAAAAGCTTTCAGATTGAAATTTGTCCTTCAAGTAAATGCCATAACAGTACGAACTGATATGATATGCTTAATTATCAGTTTGTTAATTCGTATAATTGGTTGCATTCATTTGTGTAGTAATTAATACAAATTACTTCCATCAGTTCTGTGTTAATCCTTAACAATCGCATATAGCATAACATGAAAATATGATAATATAGCACTGATAAAATGGCTCTTATCACTATTGTAAGTAAATTTTGTACTTAATTAAACTTAGCTCTTAAAAATCCATGCTTCTATGTGTTTCAAACATCTAAATTATAACTAATTTAAATTATTCAACTGCAATTACATCATAATAATTACTGAATGAATACTCAAAGATTACACAACATTCTGTCATATTTAATTTAATCTTTAGCATTGAACTGGAAGATGCCCGTGCAACACTGCCCGAGGGTAATCTCAGAAATAACCTAATGTGCATGAGATTATCACAAAAATTAGAAATCATTTATATGACATTGCGTCTGTGCATTTAGTGTGCAAAATTGGATCAAAGAATGCAAATTAACAAACTTTAATATCAACAATCCATCAATTCCTATTTTATGCAAATATTACATACCATGTTTCACATTCTAACTTTAAAAATTTGTCTCTTCTTTCCAAATGCCATTTTAGTTCAAATTGAAATTCTCTCTCAAAATAGGAAGAATTTGCCATAGATTTATATCGAAATGCAATAATTCGATATCTCCAATATTGAAGTTCTGTCAGTCAAATAACTGCGATTTTATTATCCTTGGGAAATTAATACTAAAAATTAAAAATTAGATTCAATTTATGGATATCATAAACTTATTCTCAATGATGACAATTCTTTTATTGGGACGATAACAATTTCCTAAGGACAAAGCAACAGTGGCAGTCCCAAATTTTCATAATTTACTTAACTACGAGTGACAGTCACGCTTCGTTGACAGTTCAAAAGCGCATTCATAAGCTATCAATTCGACAATAGGAATATGAGAAACAATGCGGAATGTAAAATTTTCATTTCCATTGATTTTTGCTTTCGTTGCATTTCATTGTATCGATGTCACGCATTATTTGATTGTCTCCTAAAATGTCGCTTCAATTGGGAATGAAATTTCCACCAAATAATTCCAGCATCGGTGACTGTCATAACTATGCATTATTTTGGTTGCCCACGACAAGATATGCTGTGGGTAATCAGGACAGTGCATATTCATGACACCAACTCACTGTTTCGTCAGCTAATCCTCCCTCAAACTCTCCGAAATTCTCGACTTGCCATGTGATTAGCCTCAGACAGTGCTTTCAATTGAATTGAACAGAACCACCTGACACTGAGACTTCCCAGAAAGCAGTGATAGTCTAAACATTTTCAATGGATACTGTTTGGCAGCAAAAAAGTTTCATAATCGAAAATGATTTCGTCGTAATGGAAAATTCACTGTTATCAGAGGTTATATTAAGACTATCATTTTTGGTTCAAATGTAAACAAAAACAAACGAACAACTCCTCGTAATTTAAGTTAAATGAAATGTGATATAATTAGTTCGTTTTCTGACATTGATATTTTTATGATCAGTTTTCAAAATACATTAATTATTTAACAATAATTTAATTGAATACTAATTACAAGTCATAACAAGAATTATAAGTAGAAATATAAGTGCTTATTCCGGATATGTCGAGAGCATACGGAAGAGAAGTAAATATATAAATTATTTTAGGCAACACAAAAACTGCTCTTTTATCAATGCAAATTTCATTATTGCAGGGAAATACTCCGTTGTGCTCGTTTTAACAACTCAGTAAAAACTGTGTCACTGTGATGTTTACCTCTGCCATGTAAATAAGCACTGAAATCTTGCAAGAATTACTACTGAAACATTTATCGTTTAACGAATTGCTTAAATTTACAACAAGAATTTCCTTATTACAATTTATTATATTATATACTTTCTGCAGAACTGAACTCTGATAAAAAAAAAAAAACACTGAATAAGACTGATAAGCATCGATATAAGTAAGTTATGGAGTGAATTCATGAAACATTTCTAGTCATGTTATACGATCATAATTTTGTTTGAAATAAATTATTTCTATCAAAATTTAAGCAGAAATATAAAAAAAAAAATGTTTTTTAATTTTTGTGATATTAATTAATTAACAATTACAAGCATAATGGATTATTTCTGACCTATAATATTTGTTAGTAGCTTTTTCTTTTATTTATTTGCTAATTATTTATTTATTATTTACTTCTCATTTGCTTTTATTTCATTTATTTTTTTGTTAAATCATTTATTTATTTGAGAAAAATGCTCATTATTACTGCCATTTCATTACATTTAGAGAATTAAAAACTTTTAGTGTGAAACAATCAATCAAACGATAATTTCAAAAATTCGTCATTTGTGCTGTTGAGCAAACCATTTTTTATGGAGTATTTTTATTCGATACATAAAGCAAAGAAAGGTGAAGAAGTAGAGAGATGTGATAAGAGGAAACATTAAAATTTAAAGTGCGGGGAGAATAGACTGTGCTATCGATTGCACTGATATAAATAACACTTTCACTTTTCCTTTTAAATTTAACAAGTAAGTAACATGTGGAATTATAGTGCTGTGCATGCAGCAGGTGAATAGCAGTTGTTTGTAGTACACTTTTAACTTCAAATATTTTTCACTTTTGCACTTTGCGCTTTTCACGTAAAGTTTACATCGATGTATATATATATATATATATAAATTGTTGATAGCTACGAATGTGGAAACTTACTGAAATAATATTAACTCAAATAAGCCCTAAAATATTTTATATTTCATTACGTTATTCACGTCTAATTATTTCATTCTCATTCTTTTTTTTATATAATAGTTAGCAATATTTTTTGTTAATGCTCAAATGCGTGATCTCATTATTAACTTTTCACGTTAATTACTTTTACGTCACATTTTGTTTCAGATTTTGCATTTATCACAATATTTAACAACGACGACATGTCTTTTCTTTTTCATCGTTTGGTAAATTTTTGTAAATTTATCTAAAAAGAGCTATTAATGTGATGCTACAGTGCATGCATGCATTTCAATTCTTTGCAGTCTGATGATACAGCAGTAGCGAAGAGAATGTACGAGAAATTCATGAAAAATCCGGCCATTCCGGTTTTTGCATGCGTTGCACTTCAAATGGCATTTTCTATCGCTCGTAAACGTTTCGTGAAAAGCATGTCACAAGCTGAATTTAATCGGTAAATGAAATTTATTATCAATTGTTTCCTGATAAGCTTTCTGATCATCAACGTTGATTCAGGAGTTTCGTTTGAATTTTTTTGTTTCTCTGTACAATCTAAATTAGCAAAAATTTGAATAATTTTCGGATTGCAAGTTTGATCTACTTAGATAGATTACTTTAAAGTATTTCTGGCAATTTCTAATTTGAAATTTTACATTGAAATTTCTTCATTTTTAGATCGATCGCATTGGTACCATTTACGGCATTTATTGGTACAGCTGCCTGGTTTCATGGTACTTCAATTAGAGATCAACAATATATCCCTCATGAAGAATAACTTACGCACAAACTTGGTAAAGTATATTGCGACATTACATATGCATTAATGATATTACATTTTTATTTTATATTAATCTTAAAATACTTTGTGAATAGCGTATAAAATAAAGTGTTATTTGATATATTTTCGTGTTATCACTGAAAATTAAGTATTGCATTAGGCTTTTCCTTTCCTTTTAAGTACAATTAAACGTCACCAACGTGTCAACCTATGCGTCAGAAAGTAAACACATCGATTTATACCGTATCCGTTGTCTAATTCATGCATTTTTATCACAGCTATATAACGCTCGTAAAATTTCAATTTTTGTTGTATTCAAAAAAAGTTGTATTCAACTTACATATGATTCTTGTATTACGGACATTGAGAATTATCGTACATTTTTTTTTCACGTATTTCACGCGTGAAGACAATAAAGTAAATTTCCATTGCGATTAATTAAAATATATCACAGTAAAAAATTATTTGTGAATTTTACATAATTCTATCCCTTTCAATTAATCTATCGTTAAACCTTAGCTTACATTAGTTTAATGAAATGTAAATTTAAAAAAAGAAATTTCAATTGCAAAAAGCTCGTCTCAGTGCTATGCTAGCAGCTCTCTGTTTATTTCATCAATGGAACGAGACGAATTTTGCTGTTATGAAAATCGATAGTGATACAGCCATGCCACTGTGACATTTCAAACTTCGTGTCGTCATCTTTCAACCTCATATTTTGATCAATGTGACATAAGTTTGCTCCGAATGCAAAGAACAATTAAGCCTGTAGGAATATAAAATTAGAGATTATTGTTACATTCCTTATATTTTTAGTAAATACTAACAAATTTATTTCACACCTAAATTGTTTAATTAAACCATTCAGTGTTATTATTCCTATCATTGTTTTATTGATTTATTTTTTTGCAAATACTATTTTGGAAGAAAATTAAATAAAAAGTTTAAACAAAAAAAAAAGAAAGCGATCTGTTGATCTATCAATCGTTGTGCCATACTTTTTTTTAATAGATATAATAACTGTTTAATGTTTATTAAGTTTAAGTATGAAGAAAATTTTACATTAGCTAAGTATTTTGAAATAAGTTTGTTTTTCTCTCTCTCTCTCTTTCTCTTTTATGGTTACAAAGTTTTGTGTAATATGTATTGATTGAATTATTATATAAATTTTAGCCTATTTTTAGGATATTTGTTTCAGCTAAGAAAAAACAAAGATTAATTATGCATTTCTTTCATCGCTTACTAAACTGAATAAATACAAATGTGATATGATAATGATAATTGTTAACGATCATTGATCATCACAACGAGCAAATACTGATCATATCATATAAGATAGGAACTTATTGCTAGGATAGAAGTTTATTGATAGAATCTTCATGTAATGTAGGATTAAGCATTGAACTAATATTAATATTAGTTCAATGTCACTTCTATAAGTTACTTTAAGTTAATCTAACAATAAAAAATTTTATAAAATATTCGATATTGATGCATTTTCTTATCTTTCCTCATTTGAAATGCAATTTCTTTTCCGTCGAAGATTTTGAATTGAAAAAAAAAAGAAAAGAAATTCCAACTGTCGCTTTAGATTATCAAAATTAACCATAATGATAACATCATATAATGTTAATTTGCAGTTGATAAAAGATGAATCTTGTTAGAAAGGCATTAATGACTTCAGCAACAGTTCAAAAGGTTAGTTCATTTGGATTACTCAATATAAATTAAATGGAAAATGGATCAAACTCAGATCGTACAATTAAAATTTTTTCAAAACTTGGTGTGAAACTGTAATTTATTTAAGAAATTGTGATTTTATCATAACATATATCTTAGGACAAAGTGTATAATTTGTTTTTATGAATGTCATACTTTTTCCAGACTAAAGATTATGACCCAGGGATTGTTGGCATGAACGTAAGTTTGATTTAAAGTTAATAACTTTGATTATCAAATTCATTTATGGATTACACTTCGTGTAGTTTTTTGATAATAGAGTTAATGATAATGCAATTATAATGTTAAATATCAGTGATAAGAATTGATATGTTAGTAGCGTTCTGAGTTATAATAAATGTATAAATATTGGGAGTAAGGATAATTCAATAATGGATCAACGTTTCTTTTTGTTTAATGATGAAAATGATATGTTATCATTTAGTATAATATTTTCATTGTTTTAAGATGATAAAAATAATAGCAACTGATAATAATAATAATGATAACATTTTCATTGTAGTTACAACAAAAAGAGATGAGACGACGTCGTGATTGGCTAAAAAATCCGGTATTCCTGTCCGGTACATTGTTAGCATGGATAGCCTTGATGGGATATCTGAAACCGCATAGTGAAAGAGTTTCATTTGCGGAACACAGGTAATATCGAATATTGTAATTTAGAATTTAATTATTTATATAATTGTTATATTGATTAGATATGAGATATACAACAGATTAATTTTTAACTTTTAACTTTTATTCTAAATACTACACAAATTTAATTTAATCTAATATATATAGCAAATTATATATCAAACAATATGTAATATTGTTAATGAAATTTCTCTTATCTTTTATCATTTTTTGAACTACAATAATAACAATACAACACTTTATGAGAAAGTTTGTTGAATTGTATGGCATACTTGCACTTTTCTTTCTCAATTTTTACTTATATTAATTAATGATATGAAATAGCTTATCATCCCTTAATAATTAGCTAACAAATAGAACTTTTTTTTAAAAAATGACCAATGTAATGATCTAATTACATTTCAAACTATGTGATACATCAAAATATTTGTTGTAAATTGCACTTTTTTTAATATTACATTTCTTTTAAAATTTATTTTTTTTTTAATTTCAAAGTTTTTGTAAATTACATAATGAAAAAAAAACTTTATTAGAGAATATGTGTACGCTTACCAATTTCTTTTTACCTTTTCTTTTTCTTTGAATGAAACATTAATTTTATTTGAAATAATTAACATATATTTCTTTCATCTCTTAATCTTTAATTTTATAAATTATAAACGATTGAAATTTTAGCATATTTGTTTATCAATCAGTAAAGTAATAAATTGCAATAACTTTTGTAAATAATCATTACATGTGATAATTCAATGATTTGTTTAGATTTCGGATCTTCCTTCAAGGATCTTCATTTGTTTTCGTGCTTACATGTGCCACAATAGCTCGATACTATCAACGAACAAAGGAAACGAATTGAATGATGGATCCAAGTTGAATTAAACAATGTTCCAACGAAGATTCATCATAACAGTAACGAAATAATTAATTAGAGAAGAAAAAATATCGTCGAAAATCTTTCATAGAATTTTTTTATAATTTCAGTATGGTACATAAATGTGTTACTTAAATATTTTCGATACTTCATTTTGACATTTCTAATTTTAGGCTAACAAACTAATCGATTAATGAAGAAATTTAATTGGCAAATTTAAAATTATACCAATGAAATTAATAAAAATGTGAATTTTCGACAAAAAATTCTTTATTCTTTTGAAATTTAAGTATCGATTTAAGAAATTGCTTTCATTTCATCGCGTTGTATAGTAAATAATAGATAGAACATGCACGCACGTACGTGATTAACGTTTATTTACACGTAATGATAATTTTGAGCATGCATAAACTTACACAGATGTATGCATGCATTTTGTGTGAATTTATGCAATTTTTAGTACAGTAGTAGGATGTCATTTAGAATTGCATCAATATGTATTGATAATTTTTTTTTTTACATAAATATTTCATTTGAAAGTAAGTTGTAACATTCAGAAATCTCCCGGATAACTCCCCCCGCCTCAAATAATTACTGGAATAACTCTCCCAAATAACTCTCCCGCCCTAAATAATTACCACAAAATCGACAGCACATAAAACCTACCTTTCTCCCTTATTACTCTGCGTCATTTTCTAATGCCTCGGCCGTAAAATTGAGGTACTCTCGGTATTCGCTTATTTGATTTCGATATAAGTATGACTAAGATTTTTAAGGAATGTTTGTGGCTATTTTAGTTCAGTTTTTAAAATTTGTAACTTTGAAGAATGTACCACACTTTTTGGATAGCTTTTCTTTCGCTTTATTCTTTAACCTAATTACATAATTAGATTGAGGTAAATGTTACAAGAAATTTATGCTTACTTTACAGAGAAGTATGATAATACAAATTTTGCGCAAAATGTATATGGCCAACATATCGGTTAGTTCATTTTTGTTTTCTTCGCTTTGGAGCTAATATCATTTGTTGCTATAACGGCAAAATATCTCTGCTTAACTGTTAAAGTTACGTTTTCGGAATAAGTTTTTATTCCAATGATCAGTTGATTCATTTACAGATGAATATCCAACAATTAATTTGAACTTTTACTTCGATTTATATTATGAAGTTTATAAATATAATGTATAAAATTAGATAAAATGTAGGATATCTGAATGAAAGAACTTATAGCTAAACTTAACAAATTTGGAAAGTTCAAGTTGTGGTTTTGGTTTAGTAACTAGAATAAGTAAGGCTTTTTCAAAGGAAAAATTTTCTTTTGTTTCATATAAATTATTTATCAGAAAAAGAATAAGGCAGCTAAAGATAAGTGCCATATTCTAATTAATAACACTTGAACAACAGAAAAAAGACGTGATCGATTAATATTATTCGAAGTAATTTAAAATTAATTATTGAATTTTTTTCAGGTTGGTAGTTCTAGTCCTGGCACTGCTGATCCCATCGTAAGTACTCAGATATTTTTGTTAACAAATCGTATTTAAGTATCATTAATAATTATATTTTTCCCTATGATTGCTGGTTGTTGTCAATTGGGATATTTTGGCTGATATATTGTTATCATCATTGGTGGTATCCAAATATAGAAGATATCCAGACTGAAAGTTTGAAATTCTTTATTTTTGTATTGAAACGCTTTACCTTTCTTCTTTTTTCATATGGATTATAAAATGTTGAAAAAACGAAACGATTTGCTGAAGAATCCTTTTGTTCTCGCTGGAATTGTATTGCCATGGATTGCATTGAATGGCTTTTTGAAGCCTCATTCAGAAAGAATATCGTTCGCTGAGCATAGGTTACAATAATTTTCATCTTTTATGTTTCTTTCACTTTGTAGTTGTACTACTTCATTATAAGACAGTCATTCTAATAAATACTATTTTTTATTGGCAGACTTCTGTGACAGCAAATTTATTATAACACATATTAAAATATTTTTGAGGAACTAATTTGCTGAAATTTTCCTTCGAAAATTGATTGTTATGTATAAGAATTTACATATAAGAACAGTTTTCATAACATTTCATTAAATGTCTTAGTGAAGAACAAGCCAATCCCAAAGTATAACCTACCAGTTTAAGCCATAATGTACCTTATTTCAGATTTCGCATCTTCTTACAGTTCTGTACATTTGTTACAGTTCTTTCGGTAGCAACAATGATGCGAAGGAATAAATCGCGACACTGAGCAAAATAAGTTGTTGAATCGATGAAGAAGGCATCTACTAATATTCATATTGAATACTGTTAATATATTTAAGCTTTTCTTGTCTTGAATACTAGTTAAAATTCGTTTACGACCATTTTTGATTATATTCTTGCTAGTCTTTGAGTCATCTGCATTGACCTTTATACTCATTTACTTATCATCATCAATGATCTCGACATTTTCTGTTATGGCCTTATGATAACTGTAATGATTACTTATATTATGTACCAAGTGCGATTTTTAAAATGAATGTCTTTCTTTTATTTTATGTATTCCATGACGATATACTTTCTGTGCTTACTTCGCTTGTGTGAAATTATTATTTATGCGAATGCGTTATTATTAAATAATAAAATTGTTTATTTTTTGTGTTCCTTTAGCAGTGGTACATACCAAGTGTAATATTTAAGGTCAGTGTTTTTAGATTTCAATAAATATGTATGAATGCAGGGTTTTGCAGGGATTTTTTTCAACGAAAAGGGATGCCAGGTAATCAGTCGGACGATACAACCGATGAAGATGCGACCGAGTTGAAATTCCCGAAAGGTTTGCTTTCCTTTTCTTTGATGCAATATATGCAATTATTTTCCTTGGAATTAAAGGCAAAGGCCGTGAAAATAAAAAATTAGAGGTGCTTTTGCTTCTCTCTCAGATTATATGCTTTTAATATGCTCTGTTTCCTTTCCTGAAATTAACAGCAATTCTATGTGTTTAGATCAATTATTTTTGTTTTCAGAATTCGAACAAGCTGACACATTGTTAACATCTGAAGTATACTTATTGTTAGAACATCGACGCCAGCAAAGCGAACAAAAGGTAAGGCATTGATCAGAGTTGAAACCAGTTTAATCAGATCACGAGCTGAAACCAGTTTAATCGTTCAAGTTTAGATCGTTGCTAATTTCAATCAAAAATGTAGCGTGAAGCTTTTCTGTGTGTCGTCTACTATTTACCACTTAAAGCAATGCTAGTTTTATATAAAACTTTAGATTCTTATTTACAGTAGTAAATTAAATCAAGCAGTCATATTGGAATTTCAGCCTACAGATAACTGGATGTGATCAACAGATGTTAACAGAACTATGATTCTTATGAGAACTAAATTTTTTCTTTTTTTAATGAGAAGTTCATATAATTAATTAAGTGGTTTTTGTGCTTTTATCATAACACCGAATTAAATGAATTCATCTACTGGGCTTTATTTTATTTGTCGTAACATTATTAGCTAATTGAACATGTCTGAAATAAATCTGATATTGATGTTTTTTTTTACTAGTAGTGGAAGAAATTATGTTTTTAGGAGGAAATCGACGAGATGAGTGATGTATTTGTAAAAACTTTAAATTATACGCGGCGAATGGCACGATTTAAAAATAGGGAAACGATTCGAGCTGTTAGAACGTCAGTGTTAACTTTTTTTTATATTTGTGTTTTCAACGAACTTTTCTATCTTATTAAATTAAAACTCAGCCTTTAGTCATGTTAAAATAAATATTGGTTGCAGCTTATTAGCAACGAAACCACTGCATAAATTCGAAGTTGCGCAGATTGCTAACCTTTGTCCAGAAACGTCAGAGGAGGCAAAAGCCTTAATTCCCAGGTTTTTGGATTTTTCTTTTCTCTCTCTTAAAGATTGCTTTCATTCACTCGAAAAAAACACCACAGCTGTTAATGCCTTGTTTTTCCAGTTATTTCTGGATGATTTATGAGATCTATTTAGCGTGAAAAATCGAATTCTCACAATATTATCCATACAGTATCTTTTGTCGCTCCTTTTTACTAGTCTAATAATCAGAAAATTACTTATTCAGCTTGGAAAATAAAATGGAGGATGACGAGCTGGACGAGGTGTTAAAGGATTTGCATAGCAAAAAAACGTTTCAGTGATTATTTGTTTCGATGTATTTGTTCTATGTATCATGGAAAAATATTTTGCTGGTATTATTAAATAGTCAGGAAAACGAAAGAGACAAAGTACTTAAATGTCGCTTTAAAATGTTATGTCGAAATTTGGAACTCTAATGATTACCTCTCTGTTAACTTTTTTTAATAATTTATAATTATCCACAGGAACGTTCACTGCAATATGTTGATTAATTTTCAGAATTCTGATTATTTTAGAATTCTACGTATTGTTTCAATGGGAATTTTACACACATAGATGAGTTGGGGTAAGACAAAGCGGCTTTTTATTGCACGATGGGATGTTTAGCTACAATCATGAAATTTGCACTGATAAAAGAGCAGTTTTTGTGTTGTCTAAAATATTTTATATATTTACTTCTCTTCCTTATGCTCTCGACATATCCGGAATAAGCACTTATATTTCTACTTATAATTCTTGTTATGACTTGTAATTAGTATTCCATTAAATTATTGTTAAATAATTAATGTATTTTGAAAACTGATCATAAAAATATCACTGTCAGAAAACGAACTAATTATATCACATTTCATTTAACTTAAATTACGAGGAGTTGTTCGTTTGTTTTTGTTTACATTTGAACCAAAAATGATAGTCTTAATATAACCTCTGATAACAGTGAATTTTCCATTACGACGAAATCATTTTCGATTATGAAACTTTTTTGCTGCCAAACAGTATCCATTGAAAATGTTTAGACTATCACTGCTTTCTGGGAAGTCTCAGTGTCAGGTGGTTCTGTTCAATTCAATTGAAAGCACTGTCTGAGGCTAATCACATGGCAAGTCGAGAATTTCGGAGAGTTTGAGGGAGGATTAGCTGACGAAACAGTGAGTTGGTGTCATGAATATGCACTGTCCTGATTACCCACAGCATATCTTGTCGTGGGCAACCAAATAATGCATAGTTATGACAGTCACCGATGCTGGAATTATTTGGTGGAAATTTCATTCCCAATTGAAGCGACATTTTAGGAGACAATCAAATAATGCGTGACATCGATACAATGAAATGCAACGAAAGCAAAAATCAATGGAAATGAAAATTTTACATTCCGCATTGTTTCTCATATTCCTATTGTCGAATTGATAGCTTATGAATGCGCTTTTGAACTGTCAACGAAGCGTGACTGTCACTCGTAGTTAAGTAAATTATGAAAATTTGGGACTGCCACTGTTGCTTTGTCCTTAGGAAATTGTTATCGTCCCAATAAAAGAATTGTCATCATTGAGAATAAGTTTATGATATCCATAAATTGAATCTAATTTTTAATTTTTAGTATTAATTTCCCAAGGATAATAAAATCGCAGTTATTTGACTGACAGAACTTCAATATTGGAGATATCGAATTATTGCATTTCGATATAAATCTATGGCAAATTCTTCCTATTTTGAGAGAGAATTTCAATTTGAACTAAAATGGCATTTGGAAAGAAGAGACAAATTTTTAAAGTTAGAATGTGAAACATGGTATGTAATATTTGCATAAAATAGGAATTGATGGATTGTTGATATTAAAGTTTGTTAATTTGCATTCTTTGATCCAATTTTGCACACTAAATGCACAGACGCAATGTCATATAAATGATTTCTAATTTTTGTGATAATCTCATGCACATTAGGTTATTTCTGAGATTACCCTCGGGCAGTGTTGCACGGGCATCTTCCAGTTCAATGCTAAAGATTAAATTAAATATGACAGAATGTTGTGTAATCTTTGAGTATTCATTCAGTAATTATTATGATGTAATTGCAGTTGAATAATTTAAATTAGTTATAATTTAGATGTTTGAAACACATAGAAGCATGGATTTTTAAGAGCTAAGTTTAATTAAGTACAAAATTTACTTACAATAGTGATAAGAGCCATTTTATCAGTGCTATATTATCATATTTTCATGTTATGCTATATGCGATTGTTAAGGATTAACACAGAACTGATGGAAGTAATTTGTATTAATTACTACACAAATGAATGCAACCAATTATACGAATTAACAAACTGATAATTAAGCATATCATATCAGTTCGTACTGTTATGGCATTTACTTGAAGGACAAATTTCAATCTGAAAGCTTTTACAATAACTGTGCGACAGATATGCATGCAATTTCATTCATATATAAGTAATTTCAATGATATGTAAGTATAAGCAGTGTGTTTCTTTTAACAGTTTGGTTCTTATTTTTTTATCCTTATATATATATGCTTAATTAGTTAGACTGCATAGTAATAAGTAAATTTTTAATCGTTTATTTACTTAATTTGTTTTTTAATTTTTTAGTGTAAAAATCAGATCGATGATATTTCACGAAAATATATTCACTCATGAAATAATTCTTAACCCTAGTAATTAGTAATTAATCTTAGTTAATTAAAATCCTAGTAATTAATCCATTTGAGCATTACTTAGTCTAATAACTGTTTTCTACAACCTTCACTCATTAGTACAAACTATGACCTCTAAGTTCAATTGGTATGAATCAAAATGTGTTTTGAACAGACTTTTTGTTTATTTGAAATATTGCACAAATAAATTCAAAGGCTATATTTACACAGTAAAATTATTTTACTACATGTACATAAAGTTGAATATTCAACTTTCTTTTTTAAACTTTCATTATTTAACATTCGAAAAAAAAAAAGTACAACGTTTTCTGTACTATTTTTCTATCGGATTTTCTGGTTTGAATAAAATAAGACACTTTTTGAAAATTTTAAAAATTATTTTAAAAACATTCCAAACTGCTGCTTAAATTACTTAATTAGCATATTTAGCATTAAATTCTGAAAATAGTAAAATGGTTGAGTATAAAAAGGAAATCGAAGTTACCTATCTAATATTTACAATTAAATGTCTCGGTGGTTCTTACACTCAAATCTATTTTTTTGGTTGTATACATTAAGTGCTGCTTTATTTACAAATGACACAATTTGTGATAATGGTATGCTCTTGGAAATTAAATACTTAAATATATAAGTAAATAAGAGATGGATTAATTAATCACAAAGAAATTTCCAGAATTGTGATCATTTCAATCGTAGTTAACAATGACAAAATAATAAATTTTTGCATTTTAAAATTAAAAATTAAAAAAAGAATCAGAAAGAAGCAAATTGGGAAGAAAATTAACTTTTTCTTTCTTTTTTAGCAAAGAAGCAGAATTCATAGAATCGATGAATAACATAATTAATTCTTTTTTCAGGACAATGTGATAATTCATTACAACTAACCTTGATGACCTCATTTCCACATACGAATCGATTTAACCTTTGTAAAGATCCACCAAAGGTTTCAGAGGTTTTAATGAATAGTTCAAGAACTGAATAATTTGCATACTAAGCTTTAAAATTTATTAATAAATGTCGCAAACAATGTGACAAATATAGCTACTGCTTACAAAGTAAAATGACGACGTAATTATTAGCATATAATTACTAAAGTATATGTTTACCTTAACATGAAATTAAGGTTTTTCATTTTTGCTACTATTCCGTGCGTGTTATGGAGGGATACTGGAAGTTAAAACGTAACTTTGATATTAATAACAGAGCTGTGATTCAAAATTGTATGAACACTGCAAGCTATACGTATGGTTTCACGTATGAAGTTGACCTGTCTGAGCAAACATACATGTATGCTTTCATACGTAGATCTGTTTTGTATTTAAAAATGTTGCAGAAAATAATTTCAAGCTCAGCACAAAATAATTTCCAATAAATTCTTTTCTATCTTTAATTGTATTTGTACGAAATTTATTGTGTCACAATTTGAGATCAAATTTAAATTTCAATTATTCATTAAATTGAAAACAATATGCAGTGATGATCAGAGAATGAAGGTGAAACATTTGGTAGATATTTTCTATTATTGTTGCAAGGATTGCTCATTCACTAATGTTCGTTTGCTTGTTTTATATTTATAATATAGTTTTATTGCATATAATTAAATAAAATTAATTAACTTTGTAACTAAAATTTTAATTAATTAAACAAATTAAAAGTTTATTAGGAAATGAACGATGACGAAATTATTAATTTTATTGGCAATTTGTTATTGAAAAATTTGCCAAAATCAAGCAATGATACATTTAATTATGTACCTGGTGAATCACTTCCGTATTGTTTATTAGAAGATGGCGCATTGGCAGTATGTAATTCTTCTGTTTTCTATTAATTAATGAATCAAAGGTGGATTTTTTTGCAAATTCTAGAAATTTTACTAATGAATTAATTGAGAATATTTTTAATAATTAATTAATAATTTGTTTACTTTTTCTAGCATTCTATTCCCTCCTTTCATCTTCCTATTAAAAAAAATTTTTTTCTTTTTGGATGAAAGTAGTTGGCATTAATCAATGTGTATTGTTGTTGGATACGTGCTCAATGAATAAAATTTATGTTGGACCACTTCTGATATCAAAATTTGATCATTTATCACAATCTACTCAACGAATAAATGTTTGTTTTAAAATGAGTGAAAATTTTTTTCTTTGATGTATATGAGCTGCTATTCAAATTCTATTCAATGCATTTTTGTAAAATTTATAATTGCATACTTTTAGCTAAAATATTTATTTTCATTCAAATTTCACTAATTAAATTTGTTCACTTTTTTTTTTAAATATTCAAATATTAATAAATAATTATTTAAGAAATCATTAGCGGATGTTGTTTCAATGAATTTTACGGAAATATGTCCCAAATCAGAATGCATATATTATTTATCTCCATTGGAATTTTTTGTTTATTGTTGTTGTAATACTAATTATGAACTTTGTGCTTATACTAGCGATGAACAATTACTTTCATATGCTAGCAAAAATGCTTTAACTTGGGCAACTAATCCTCTGATACGATCATTTCGAGAAGTTCTAATATATGATATTAAAACTGATATATTTACGGAAGTTTCGGGTAGACCATGGACGTATCGTAAATATGTTTATAGTAAACCAACAGGTAAAACTATTCAGAATGATGACAATTAGGATTACTAAAATTTGGAGCAAAATTATTTAATCAAAAAACGAAAAGAAAAAGTTTGAAGAAATAAGAAAGTGCTTTGCGTGAAATATTTGAATCTTTATGAAAAAAAAAAAAAAAGAAAAATTATAAATAATATTACTCTCATTTTATACTTTATCATTTCAGTTGACAAACGCACAGGTAATGTGACATCATCTGCTGATAATATACCTTTACATCTTTGTGCATTTGGCACTTTTAATTTGACTATAGGTAATTGGAAAAATGAAGATTTTACTATGAAAATAGGAAAACGTAAGATGTTAGCAGAACCACAAAAATTCTGCTACTACATGCCATCCTTACAATTCACAAAAACCGATCGAAAGCCACCAACATCGTTAGTTTTTTTTCTTTTCCTTTGTTTGTTTTTTTTTTTTTATTGTTTAATTAATATATAAAATTAAAAGTTCTTCTTAGATTAAATTTGCATTTAAAAAAAAAAGCAAAAATTCTAATTATTCTGTAATATAGCAGATTATTTCATTAATTTATTATTTAATCTATGCAAAATATATTATCAGACAATTTATTATCAGATAATTCTTTTTTTTTTTCTTTTGAAGATTAGAGGTGCGATATGGAAGTGATACTGAAGAATTATGCAAAAGAGAGGGATGTAATATTAAAGCACCAACTTGTTTGCAAGATTTAATTTCGATCGATCATGTGATTACCACATTTAGATGTTGCTGTAATGCAGGTGATTTATGCAATCATTTAGGAAATAAATATTTTCAAGAAACTAAACAACTTATCAGTGCTACGTAAGTTCATTGAAATTATGTTTAAATGAAATCAGTGAAAAAAATTAATAGTAATAATTATTTTTTGATGTGTAATTTAAATCATTTTCATTTCAAATATTTTAACTTTTAAATAAACTAATAGTTAAATGATTTCTTTTTTCTTTTCTGCAAATTTCAATAAACGATAGCAAAATCAATATGCTCTATTATAACTTACAATTCAAAATGAAAACAAATCAAATTACAACCATTTCTTCTTATACATAATAAATCAAAAAATACGTATATATATATATATATATATATAATTTAATAAAAATACTATTTGAAATACTTAATTGTTAGCAGTATAAAATATTTTATTAAAAAATATAAAATATCTGTCACAAAACTTTGAAGGCATATTTTTCCGTGTATAAGTCAAACGCATTCTTATTTAATGATTTATTTCAATCGTCGATTCAATGACACTTACGTGAAATGCAGTCGTTTCTTTACATTTGACACATTTGATGAAATAATGCTTATCGAGGATTATTCATTTTTTGCACCAGAAAATAAAACCTTAAAAAAAATTTATGAGCAAGGAAGAAAGTTACAACTAACAGAGTAAGATATAAAAATTTTGTTTCTATTTGATGATTTTTAAAAATGAGTTTCAATTAATACAATTTAGTTATTTGATATGTACGAAATATCCCATAATAATAATAATAATAATAATAATAATAATAATAATAATAATAATAATAATAATAGTAATTTTTCTTTCCATAATTGCATTTTTTGAATTGGAACAATTCAATTCATTGAAATGTAAGAAATATTTTGATAAAATGCATCATTCTATGAAGTAATATTGTGATAAATTATAAAATAAATTTAAAAATGTTCAAATTTTTTTTTTTTTATATTTTTATTTCAATTTTAATAAAAGTATTTTATTTCAGACAAAATTATGATAAAACTATACAACATGGTTGTATCCGTAAAATATTTCTACCATTTCATGATCCGTTCTGTGAATTACACATACCGGTGCTTACCAATCTTATTCAGTGTTCCTGTTTTCAGAGTCCAATTCTGAAACAGGTATCTAACACAATAAATTACTTTCTGGTTATTCTTATTCTATGCAAATCTAAATTTTATTTTTATTTTGCGAGAGTTTTGATTGTACAGAAGTGGAATATTTGGCTAAAGTTTATTTCTTGCTTTTTAGTGAGATATTCTTCGGACATTTGATCCGAGAGGAATTTGTTTTAATTTAAATTAGAGTAAGCGATAGTTGCTATTAGTGGAATACTCATTAAGAAGTAAGAATTGAAGTCGAAGTAGTAATTTCACTTAAATATATAAGAGTAAAAGTAGTTTACAGCAAACATTCTGATAAAATTTTATTGCATACAAAAATAACTATGGAAGAGGTGTAAAAGATGATCTGATTAATATAAAGATTTTAGAACTATTGATTATCAGATCAGAAACATTTGCATTGTATTGGTTTACCGTATATTTTAACTACGGAAATTAAAAGTTGATGTTCGGAAATAAAAATAAGAATTAGATGAATGATTTATCACTTAGACATCATCATAATATTTATTCATTTACATTCATTTTATGTGATAAATCATTTGAGTGAGAAATATTTGCAACACAAATTATTTTATTATTTAGAGATTATAAATTATTTATCGCAAATTTTAAGTTCCACCATAACAATAAGTAATCACTTCAGAAATATTTAACTAAATTATTAATATGAATGTCAGTTTCAGTTTAGAATTTGTTTCATCTGAAATTGTATTTCATTTTTTAAAAAGATTGAATGAAGTACTGAAAACTGTCATACTTATCACTGACGCTGTTATCTGTCTTATCGTTGACATTACAAGTGTCACAATCAATTATCAATGTTTGTTATCACACACTGATAATAGTATAAAACCAAAAGGTCGTATTTCTAACAATAATACTATGATTAACATTCACAATTATTTGATATAATTTGAATAAAATTTAAAGCCATGTGATGCTGAATTTGGGACGAAAGTACGCAACGAAGGACCAAAAATAGCTGTGCCAATGTGTTTAAAAACATTTGGAAATCTAAATGAACTCTTGGATAATACTTATGATTTTGGTATCATAGGGCCAGCAAAATATGAGAAAACAGTATGTTAAAATGATATTTTCTAATTTTATAATTTGAAAAATTTAAAAAGAATTTTTTTTTTTTGGATTTTTAACTAATTTATTATATTTTAATAATTATGCAAAACATAAATTGATTAAATTGTTTACAGAGAACAAAAAATTATCCATTATGTTATGATATGATAGCAATTGATTCATATAAACATGGAATTGAACATCGGAGTGGACCATTCGACGAAATTATCAGTTATTTGTATAATGTAAGCAAGAGTGTTAATATAATGCGCCGAATAATGACATTTACAGTATTGGTACCTGGTACCAATTATACCACAACACGTTATTTATATACATGCTATCAACGAGAAAATTATTATCCATGCAATGGTTATATATCTTTAGCTATATTTATTATCATTATTTTTTTTTTCACTAACAAATTAATAAATTAAATTAATAATTTATAATAAATAACTTTTAATAGTCATTTAAAGTATACATTGAAATTACTAAATAATGAAAAAGTTTTTCTGCTTTTTTTTTTGACTTCTTTTTAAATTATTAATTATTGGTAAATGATCTTTTCACTGTGTGAAAGAATTTGTTTTTTTTTTGAGAAATACTGTAGAAAAAAAGTTACATTTTCTCTATTTATGTTTATTTTTAGTTCATAATTCAATCACTGATAAAGATTTATTGCTTTCTAACAAATTTATAAGTAATATTCATTTATATATTTTTGCAGAATAAATACAATTAGTACAAATTTTTTTTTTATATAAAATATCTTTAAAAAATAAAAAGAAGAAATTTAACATTTCGTACTTATGTAATTAAATTTATACAAAAAGTTATGCAACAAATTTTATTACTATTCCAGGACCTATAACCATTCGTAAGCAATTATTACCGGAAATTATTTGGGAAGAAAGTACAAAATATAGTTCAAAGGAGAGATCATTATGTCAAGTTGATGGTTATAGTAATCGTATCAGATGTAAATCACGCAAAGGATGTTTCGATTTTCATACCGTTCACGGATTTCGAATGGTAAATGAGTTTTAAAGATGCTTTAAATCTTGACAAAAATTGATACCTTTTTTTTATTTTGATGCATTTACAGCGTGGATGTATCGATAAAATCCCTAAAATAGTATCTATGATGCCAAAATTTCGACTACTTTACACTTGCTATGGTCACGTTTGGATTACGGGAAATGAAAATACACGTTGTATTGCCGTAAGTGAGAATGATTTTAATTCCACAGTTCCGCTTACGGATGGAATTCTTTGTTGCTGTCGTTCAACGTGTAGAATGTCTGATAGTAATTCGTATATGGAAATGCAACATGGCTATTATCCATTTCAAATGTGATATTATATCATTAATTATTTTCAATAATATTTACTAGTATTTCTATTAATAGTTAATTATCAGTTAAATCATTTTGAAATTGTTTTGTATAAAGTGAAAAGAAATTTAAATTTCTGCAATTTTGATAAACCATTATTTTTCTTCTTAACAAAGTATTATCAGTAAAGTAATTTATATAAGATGAAACATACTTTAATAATCATTTATTCCTTCGAATAAATAATCGTTATATTCAAGATATAATTTCGATTGTTATAAACAATGCAATTAGAAGGAAAAAAATTTAAATGCATATTGCATTTAAGTAAGTAAATTAATTATAAATAATATGATAAATATGCAAAAGCACATCTTTACTCAAAAAATTAAAATTTGTTTGCTTCTTCTGCGATTTGTTCTTTTGGTATTCCACTTATCTAAAATGATATTTGTCATTGCATTTGTTCAATCATTATTCTATCAAATTAATTAATTAATTAATGTGATTTGAAAATTGATCATAAAAGTGTCAATGCCATAAAATTGAATTGATTACACAAATAATTTAAATTACGAATAGCCGTTTATTTGTTTTTATACATATTTTGAGCAAAAATCCTAGTCTTACTGTTACTCTTACTGCTATTTGTTATGGAAAACAATGTATAATTATTAGTTCCAGTTTTTATGACTTTCTGGCAAATAATACTTAATTGGAACTAAGTCATTCGTTGAATTATTCCACTCTATTGAATTGACTGGAAATTTTGATAAATTTTACTCTCCTCACAACTTCTGAATGATGAATGATTCTTACATGATACACAATCTTGAAACAGTTTTATATTGTCTAAAGAATATTCAATTAAAACAGTGTTTTTGATTTAATACAATTTTGTTTCTATATAAATTATTGTAATTTAGTTTTTTGGACAGTTGTAATTACAATTTTAATGACGATTGAACAGTGTAGCTATCTATACAAATAATACAGTATTATGATTTTAATCAAATTTTGTTATTAATTCATATTTTACTTTGCTAGGTGCAAATCAATGAACTATCATTTAATATGTAGAAAAAAATCGTTTTTTTTTTGAGTCCTCATTAATAAATTTTGCTAATGTTTACAACTGATTTAGAAATTTTTTAAAGTCTAAGATTGTAGCATATAATTCAAAATCGTATATATATAATTCAAATCTTCAACATAAATTTTTTTTTGTTATATTCTAAGCAAATTGTAAATTTTAAACAATGCAGATTAGCTCAGCTACGATTAGAAGGTGAGCGCTTGATAAATGATTGCTTGTATGAAATGCAATTTCAGATGGTTTTACATCTAAAGAGTACTCAATTAAGAAGTCTTCAGTCTCGACGGCCCCATCGGAGGTAAAAGCTCGTAGCATTGTAAGGGACATACAAGCTGCTCTCAAATGACCGCATCTGCAATCCGCATCCTATCACTGAAGTCGCAGCATTGGAAAATTCAAACTGACAAAGCAAAGCAAAGTAACGAATTACCCACACTCAATCTATTTATCCACTTTTCTTGGTTTATTATAAATAACATATATGTAGGTTATGTATGTTTATAAGTAGCTGCTCCAGAACTGATAGAATCAAGAAAATATGAATGAAATGATTTTTTTAATGAAGTTATGTATATAAGGACTGTGTAATGTGTAAAGTGAAAAGATATTTATTACTCTGACTTATTCCAATATATCAGTGATTATTTCTTTATAATCAAAGATGGATAATATTGGTTTCTTCATAATCTAATGTAAATTCCTTATAATCAAACGCTTGGATGAAAATTAAAATGGCGATTGAATTGAAATTGATAAACAAATATCAGATCAAAATGTGAATCCTTGGTAAACAAGCTTTAAGACGATATTGAGAAGATCTATAACAAAGAAAATATTGAACATTTTCAAATCTGACTTTACATCAGAGCACCTCTTCAAATTTGCCATCGTTGAACATACTTTTCGGAAGTTGGAACAAAACTTTTGGTTATACGTTTACTGTAATAAATTTTCTGCACAAAAATGGCAGTTAGAAGGAGTACTCCAAATAAAATGAAAACTGCGGTTTGCAAAACAATTCCATTGCGTATCGCTTCGCATGATACGTGTGGTACTTCGGGTAATCCTGTCTGATTTATTTCGTTACGTTCAAAAATCACCAACTGAAATTATTTATACACATTTTTAATTTTGCTTTCCAGTTTTGATTATTGCATTACCATCACAGGTGTAGTATGTAATGCAAGATAACACAAATAGTATTGGATCGACTAAAGTTCTTATTTAAGACCTATTATCATGCCTATAAAAGACTAAAGACTTTTCTTATTTCTTATCTTGCTGGGTAATTCTAAAGCATTTTAAAAACCTAAGATCCTAGCCATTCAGCCTTTTCAGCCTAGAACTGAATTATAAAAGCAACCTCTTATCTTTTTCATGTTCTCATATTTTCAACTTCTGAAACAATGAAGCCAGATGATATGAAAATTTCAAAACCTGATCAGCATGAACATCGAATGTAAAATGATTGGCATTGGTGGAATTTGCTTTAGTGAGAGAAACTGAATTTATTGTCATTCGAGATTCATTCAGGAAACGCTTTCGTCTGTAACTCATAGACTGCACGTCCAATGCTGCAGAACAGTTCGGTTTACTTGCACTAAGGTCATCGTTACAAATTGCGCGATCGGTACTCTCTGTGGCGAAAACAGTAGTTGACAATAGTCTTGTTAAAAGAAATAAACTAATAATATTTAGTCCTTATTAAAAGTCATTTTCTAAGTTTTTCTAACTAAGTAAGTGAGAAGTGAGAAGCTTCTGTAAATCCTAATAAACTAGTTTAGAAACACTTAGCATTCATATTATCAAAACATAAAATTAAAACCCGATCTAGTAACTAACAATGATTGGCTTATTCCATTCCATACCCCTACACGGTGATCGTTCAATGTCCCGAGACATCAGTAATGGAGACAGACTTACGTAGTATAGGAAATTCAGATGTCGAGGTCGACATTGAAATCGAAGTTGAAGTTGGAATCGAAGTTGAAGTTGTTGAGGTCGAAGTTGGAATTGAAGTCAAAATAATTTCACAGTTGGGTGGCTGAAAAGAAGTAAAAATAAGTTCAATATTTATTTACTGCTTGATCATAAATCTTTTACTTTGATTTATGAATCAGTCAATAGTTGTACTTTCATGTAAAAACTGTAGGATCCCCCTTTCCTTGAAACTTTCTAGAACAACGAATCACAATAAGTAATGTTTCCAGAAAATGTATATTCTACGTGACCGTGAAAATAAATTCACTACAATTAAAATTTAATAGATTGATTACAAAAAAAAGAAAAATGTTCAAATCAGTTTTTGAGAACAAAAAATTAAGTACCGAAATGTCTTCACAGCCATTTTCTGCTTTAGCACATAATGTCACTTTGCACTGAAACTGAATGATAAGTTGATCGGCAAATTTGAACGCTGGTACCACAGAATGCGCCACTGTGAGATTATCACTATAGATTAATGGACCCATTAATGTCTGATCTGTGATACAGCTGGAAATATTATTTGTTAATCGAATTCGTCACCGATATTTATTGATAGAACATAAAAGTGAGAAATTACTGATAAGTAAGCGTATCTCAGCCTAGAAAAAGAATAAAATAGGTCGGCTAACTTTTCAAGTGCAATACGAGTCTGTGAGACAAAGCCAGACTCTGCATCCAAGTAATAAATCATCTTACCCTTGATCATCGACAAACTGGAAAGTACCATTATCAGGTGTGTGAACAAAGCATGAATGAATGAACATACCGTACTCCTCTGGAAAATTATCATTTTTCAACTTTAGATAAAATTGTAACAAGAAATGTATAAATTAATCTGAAAATTTTCAATTTTGGTTCAAATTCGTCACCCGATGCGCAACTCCACTTATGGACCAGTTGATCGCCAATATTTGCATACTTTACCGGTTGGCCATCTACCGAATCCATCAGAATTTCATAGACACAATTAGTAACGATTTCGTTTTTCAGATCTGTCGTCGCTAAGCCACTGATTAAAAATGGAGATTTAATTAACACGATTGCTTTAACCCTATTTTAATGGCGAGCTAAACTGATTGGCAACAGATGTAAAGATTTTAAAGTTTTGTAATCAATATTACTTTTGTTTTTTGAACTTAATAAATGCTATCAATAAGATATTTTGATGACACTGGAAATTATGGGACTTTTCCTGTTTGAAATTGCATTACATTACCCGTTGACTTCTATATTTTTAGATAAACTGTCGTAGCCAGTTTCATAGAAGCAATTGACACTAAACGCTTTATCAGCTTGCGTTAGAAATAAATAGTGATGTTGAACAATGATAATAATGTTATAGTTGATGCCTGGTGGTTCTTTCTGCAATATATTTATGCAAGTTGGTTGTTAGGATTACTTCCGGTTTATATTTTAGACTATTCAAAGTTTCCTTTTGTTCATAAGTACTTCACCGAATATTTAAAAATAGAATTCGTATTATTCTTTTCTTAATATTTTATTTAAAGTATTTGATTGAAATGAATACTACCTGCATTTCGCCTTTCTGAATGCAAGCGCTTTTGTATAAAATACTAAAGTGAAATGGGCTGACAATAGGATTCCGTGTGAAATCTAAGTGACACTTTTCATGCATAAAGTATCCCTTCACATAAATATGTCCACGAAATGGCTTTTCCGGTTCGAAATATAATCGCAGGCCGTCCGTAAAGCATTCCTGGAATTGAACGACAATATGAGTATGTGGCAGAAAAGATAGTTCGAAATTTATATTTTTTTTTTGATTGTAAAATTTATGTTTCAAAAAACTTTTTGTTTACAACTAACTCAAATGACGTAAAAAGCACTGTCAAGTATTTTGACGCCAAACGTTGGAGGATGGATAGTAGAAACTAATAGAAAAAGTTTTTGCATAGATTTAACTAAGTCCCTCTGGAAAGT